GAGGAGGAACGCAGGGCGCCGCCCCTTCAAAACGAGGACACATCACCACAGGATGGCTGGGAACAAAGACCAACCCAAATTTGAAGGACAGCGTCGCTCCATCGAAATCCTCGCACCACCGCAGGATTCCACTGCGCGCGCGACACCTCTGGGCCAGCAGGGTACGATCGAGAGCTAGAGGCAACAAACCCAACTGCACAATGCAAACTCGCATCGCGCCGTCGGCCTCCTCCTCACCCCCGCCCCCCACCCTTCCATTGCCATTGCTCAGACTAGCCAGGTGGCTGGGCACCGCAGGCAGACTCTCTGGGCAGACGAGGGAAAAACGCCTCGCACGAAGCAGTTCCCACGAGACGCCGCATGGACGCCAGACGCGTCGACCTGCTCCGGGGCCAGATGCCCGTGAGATCAGGCGCGGAGCGCACTGAACGCCGAGCCCGAAGAAACGCTGCCCTTGGCGCGGCGCTCGCGGATGGCCACCAGCTCGTCGCAGCATTCGACCAGCTGGCGGCGCGGCCGGGCGGCCGCCTGCAAGGCAGCCGCGACCCCCCGCTCGGCGGCGCTCTCCTGGCCAACCATCAGGAGCCTCTCGACCTCCTCCTGGCTGGGAAGCACGCCCCTGCAGAGCTGGGCGCCGCGGCGCGCCGCGTCGCCGCCTGCCGCGGCGCCGTTGCCCTTGCGGGGCTCGACAGCAACCCTCGCCATAGCGCTGGCCACCTGCGTCGCCGAATCGAAGCGCTCCTGGATAATCTCGAAGTCGCGATCGTCGGCTCGTTAGTCAAACTCTTTTTCGGGGGGCTGCCGCGGGGCCCTTTCAAGGCAAGAAGCCATCTCCCCTTCGACGACCGCTGGACCTGCGTCAAGCCGGCGAAGGCGGCGCGGAAAACATCGTCCGACTTCGCGTCTTGGACCTTCCGGCCGCGGACCCCCTGCGACTGCGCGTCCGAGACGGTCAACTTCTTCGAGCAAATATACCACGGCCCGTCCACCTCCGACTCGCAGACCTCCGTCGCGCCCACAGCCTCCTGGAAGAACGCCCCGTTCCCAGCGAAGCACCTGCCGATCACACTGCTTCTGCATGCCCAGGGCGGCGCCCCCCATGCCCTTGGAAATGATTCTCTCCGTCAGCGCCTCAACGGTTTGAGATGTGATGTCTATGTCTAACTAGCATTTGTGCGCGGCGCCGCGGCTGGCGCGGGCGCTCGCGATCTTGGCCCGCTCCTTCATCTTGCCAGGGAGCTGGCAACCCTCGCTCCCCAGCTCTCGGCAACGTTTCAACTCCTTCTCCGCAATGTCTGCCTGGTGCGCCTCGAACGCGCACCCCTGGGCCCTCGCGGCCCAGCGGTCGCCCGGGGCGCCATCGCCCTCCGACAAGGCGTCGTCGCCCGCGCCCGCGCCCTTGACGGCCTTTGCGGGAACGACTGCGAGATCCGAGTCGCGCCACTTCGAAGCGTTCTCGGCGGCAGGCTTCTTCAGGGCATGTTTCTCGGGCTCAGCCACCCCCGCCACCTGCGCATTCGGGTCATTGTCCGGCCCCGTCCCGAATCGGCCGCAATGGAACACTTGATAGAATCGAGCTCGAGGGAATAAATCGCAACGCTGCAACGTCGACGCCTGATCGCACCAGAATTGCCGCGGGGAAGACGGGGCGAGAGGGCAGGGGGGTGGCAGAAGGGAATTTCAATAAACCCCAAGGCCCCCGCGAGGGGCCCAAGGCCCTCGCGAGTGGCCTAGGGGGGTCCGACGCAGGGGCCCAGGGGGGCCCAACGCAAGGTTATGAAGTCCACGTCGTTTATGTTTTTTCGCGGGAAGTGACCCCGCTGCTGGCCCAGCAGCGCTCTGGCCCCATGGGTCATGGGTTTCGGAGCCCACTGGAGCCGCGCTGCGCCCCCAAAGGTTTCAACGCGGCTCAACGCGGACCTCCTAGGCCCCAATGGAGGAAGGCATCAAGGGTCCCATTATTGCCCCCTGAAAGCTCAATATGGGCCAAATGCTCAACCCCACAGCTGAAGCTGCCAACAAGGAGGCAGAAGCGACGTGTTTTCGCGTGACTCAACTGCTCGACGTCGCGCAAACTAGCGCATCACATTCACGTCCGCATAACGATTCGATTGGCCCCCCACAGTGCCACCACAGCATCGGGTCCGAGTGCAATAGCGCCAGAGCTGAGACCACGTCTGTCGTATTGTGTGCAACGCATGCCGGCGCAAGTGCATGTGGATTTGCCTGTCTTGTGTAGTTGCACTTGCGCGTGCACTTTGTATGTCTGTATGTATGCGTGTTCGTGTGCGTGTGCTGTTTTGTTACTTTGCATGTGCATTGGCATGCGCATGTGCGTGGACTTCTGTGCTATGTAATGTCAGACGTGTTTGCATACACTTCATGTGACCCCCATATGTCTAAACACTTCTGCTTTGTCACGCCACCACTCTGGATTGCATCGCACACCTTGCGCATGTCGGAGTGAACGGAATCGCCCCACTTCCGAACTTCAGCAGTCCATGCGCAAACCCTCTTCGAACTGCCATATTTCTGGCACCCCCGCGCCGCGAGTTCAGGGCGCGAGTCCGCCCCAGCCGCGGGCCCCGACATGCCCCGGCGGCACAGGGTCCCGGCGCGCGGCGTCTCCGTCATGCTCTCCACGCCTTCGGAACTGCCTTCTCAGGAATGACCTTCGCAGGGGCCACCTTCAGCTCGGTCTGGGGCTCGGCTTTGTTTTCGGTCTTGGCCCGAGGAGTGGCCTTCTCGATCTTTCTGCGCGCGAGGAGGGCAGCCTTCCGTCGCCTGGGCGCGGGGTCCAGGACGCGGTCCGATTCGACACCGTTGCTGTCAGACTCTCCAAATATCCTCAACGTCGTCGACGTCACTGTCAGACCCAAGCTTCTTGCCGCGGGGATGAGGGCCACCGAGGGTCGGGAAGCCGTCGTCGCAATGCACTCGAGAGCTGGGCAGCGAGACCGCACCGACTGATGACGCCCTGCTGCGGGCAGGCCGACTGGCCAACTCCAGGCGCGAGAGGGCGTCAGCACTCTTCATGCCGATCAACGGGTACCCGTGTTCGCCCACTTCTGTAGCCTGGGGCGGGGTCGATCCTGGGAATTGTGATGTCAAGTTCCTTCTCGGCGTCACCAGCGCAGCGTGGCGATGGCGATGGGCTGGGAACAGGAGACGGTGACGGCGCGGGGTCCACCTCCACAAGGTCAAACAGTTTTTCAACGATGACCGTGTTTGCCACACCACATGCCCGTCGGAAGCCTCCCACCTTGGACCGTTTGCGGCCGCCCCGAGGGAATTCTGAGCCTTCACGTTTCACATATCGGAGAACCGCAAAAACGTGCCTGATGTGTTCGGTAACAGTGTGGATGCAAACGGACGGGTTGAATTGAACCGGGAGCGTTGCGCACGAAATGTTCAAGGCGTGCTTCAGTCTGTCAGGCGATACAACACAATTGCGAATGCCTCGTTTGAACAGCTTTTCCAGCAGGGGCTCAAATGCACAATTGTGTTGGGTGTGACCTGATGAATGCCAGAAGCAAACCTAGGCCCTAGGACATCACCAGGTGTACTGTCGTGACAAAGTGCGCTGGCACGATCCATGTGTTCCCTATCGGATACGTCGGGGTTGGCCAATGCCCTCTCCCGCCTGGTAAAAGCCATGGCTTCTTGAAACTAAACAGCTGCATGGGAAGAGGAAGGGCTGGACATGGCCCTACCAGGGCAACAGGAGACGAGAAGGACGGAGGGCTGAGGTTGGAAAGGTAGAAACCTAAACGCGCAAACGCATCCCCCTTTTCTTAGATGGCTTGCCACGAGAACGCAGACAGAGAGAGAGAGAGGGAGACTACGGGCGAGAACCTGTGGGTGAGACCCTATGGGCGACATCCTATGGGCGAGGCCCTATGGGTTTGAGACCCTATGGGAGAGACCCTGCGGGTCAGAGACACGATGGGCGAGAACCCATGGGTGGAACCCTATGGGTGGGACCCGATGGGTGAGAGACCCTATGGGATCCAATGCCTTCAGAATTCTAGAGTATGCTAAGGGTGCTTCGTCGGCTGGATTGGACATCCAGTAGGCGTTCCGAATCAAGGTAACCAGCCGCGTTGGTAGATGTTTGGTAGATGTTGAAATCTACCAAATATCTACCAAACATATACCAAACAACTCCAGTGCAATACCCATAGATTATACTGCTTCTGCCCTCAAATATGCATTGCATTCTGACGGAACACACACTTATCTGTTTAAGCACAGGCACATAACAAATAACCTTAACTTGTCTTTAGAAGTCTGAAGGCACCGGACGGTCAGGGTGGGCCTCTGGGGCCGCCTTGGAGGCAACCAGGGCCCACTTGGGGACTCTTGGGGTGTCTTGGGGCCCTCTTGGGGCCGTCTTGGACATTGCTGAGGCGATCCTGTATGCCTCTTGGGCCGCCTCGGAGCATCGGAAAGCCGAAAAGGCGACAACGCCAAAATCATTCAAAACACTTACAAAACAATGTATATTGCGTCTCTTGGGCGCCTTGGGGGGGGGGCCTTTCGGTGGCCTCTCAAGGGCCTCTGGGGCCTCCTGGGGGCCTCGCGAGGCCGAGGGCTCGAAATGTCCGCTCGAGTCTCCCGTCTGGGCCCCCTCTTGGAGCCGTCTTGGGGGCCCCTGGGCAGTCTTGGAGGCTTCTTGGGCCGTCTGAAAACCGTATTGGGCCATATGGGGCCCTCTTGGAGACTTCATCGGCTGTCCTTGGGCGATCGTGGGCGCATTTGGGGCCGTCTTGGAGAGTCGAAGACGAAAAGATGTGAATACCAGAATCCGTCAAACAAACAAAGGAAAATCAATCATTTGTGCATCTTGGAGTTCTCTCGGGCGTGTTCTTCGAGACTTTTTGGAGCGTCTTCGAGGCTTCTTGGGCCGTCTGGGGGCCATCGTGAGCGTCCTGGCGCGATTCTGAGGCGCCTCGGGGCCTTCTTGGAGCGTCTGGGGGCCCCTTTGGCGCTTTCTGGTGGCGTATTGTCGGCCTCAGGTGGGCCCCAAGCGCCCCGGCACCCACATTTGTGGTCGGGACTGCAGCCCTGGGTCCCCCTGGACCGGTCCCCCGTTTTATGCACATGTGCACTCAACATGTGAAATCTCAGCCTAACGACCAACTGCCAACTGGCAGATTCTGACACAGTGGCCACAGCACTGGGCCTCACTCCGCGCTTCTCCGCGGCAGGCTGGTCACGCGGCTGTTGCTGGAACCGCTGGTGTTCGCCTCTAGGGGAATAAGGAGCGGCATGCAGCATAAGCGCAAGCTTTCGGAGATCTGCGCGGATTCGTGGATCGGCGCTGAACCCCCTGGCGCGGCGCCTCCGGCGCCGCCGCTGGCGCGCTCCACACGCCAGGGAGAGCGGTTTCAGCGCAGATCCAAGAAATCTACGCGGACCTATGACAATTTTGTTTATGCCGTTTTTTCTTCCTCAAGCCTCGCTCGCGCCACGGCTTGCACTGCCCCTATGCGTACTGGTCGCAGGCGTGACGCTCTCGGTCGTGTTGCTGCCTGCCGCGCCTGTCCTGCGCGGCAACCCGCCAGCTCGCGCCGCTGCCTGCTGCAACGCGCCTGGCCCGGGCAGCCGCCGCAGCCGGGGCGCCAGCGCCGCCACCGCCGGCGACGACCCGGCGCGACGCGCGCGCGTGCCCGGGTCGACGAAGAGCGTGGAAGAAGAGAAGAGCCTGGAGCATGATTCGGCGACTCCAAAAGGTGTGGTTTGCAACCAGCACCCTGAGGGGCACCCTGGGGGGGCCGGCGAGGACCTGGACAGAGCCCTCCGCCGCGCCCCGGGGAGGCCCGACGAGGACAACGTCGTGCTCCCCAGGCCCCAACGGTGCCGATCGCAAACCACACCCCGGCGTAACCGTACCCTTTTGTAGTCACCGAGTGACCTCTGGAAAGTCCGAACGGATAGCTCTCTTGCATCGGCACGGGGTCCCCCCTTGGCGCGCCAGGAGCGCGCTGGCGGCGCCGCCAGGGGTGGGCTCAGCGCCGATCCAGGAGAAATCCGCGTGGGCCTCCGCGAGCCCATGTCTTTGCTGGCGCTTCGTACGGAGCCGAACTCTATACACCGGCGCTTTTTCCGGCCCTGCACTGAAATGCGCACAGGAAAGCGGATCCTGATATATACGGATCCTGGTGTATGCATTGTTTGATGTGTCCCCCCGGGAAATGGGAAAAAAGTATACACCACACACCACCCTGACGTCGTCCCCGACCCTCCGAGAAGCCCTGGGAGTGAAAAACCGAACACGCCACTGGTAGATGTACGGCAGGTTCGTGTCGTGCCGACCCCGGCGTTGGTTTTCGACACCGCGTGGATCGTTCAACCTTGAACGATCGGCCGCTGCCGCAACGTCCGATCGTTCAACATCGATCGATTCTGGGTCGCCGCCGGCGTTCAACGTTGAACGCCCGCGCTGGGGTCGCCGCCGGTCGACTCGACGCAAACCTACCGTACACGCCCCAGTGTCCGACTTCTGCCCCGGGAGCCACGCGTCCGACGCCGGCGGCAGGTCCCTGGGCTCCAGGGTGAAGCGGCCGAAATTGTGGCGCGGCGGGTGGAGGAAGGAATGGCGCGGCGGCGCCGCGTCGCCGCGAGCGGAGCTGCGGGAGCCCATCGGCAGAACCGCGTGGCCGCCTGCGCCAGCACGGGTGAAGGGCTGCGCGCGCGGGGGGGAAACCTGGCGCGCGCGCGCGGAGGCGGGCGCGCGCGGGACCCGCAGGGAACGGGGCGGCTGGGCGCCCACACTCGAGCCAGAGCATGGGGGGGGGAAGAGGACCCCCAAGGCTTCGAGCCAGGGGCGGCGAAGGCCTCGAGCCAGAGGAGAGGAGGGAAGAGCAGCCCAAGGCTGCGAGCCGCGAGCAGCTCGAGCCAGAGAGAAGCCGAGGGCCTCGAGCTCCGTCTAGCCGGGACGACGAGCGCGGCTCGAGAGCACGAGCCCCCTCGGCGAGGGTCCGAGGCCCTTTGGAGATACATTCGGGGCGTTGACCTAAGGAACCCTGAATAAGGAACGAGGCCCCTTTTTTTCCATAAGTGAAACTTCGATTCCCCATCGCAAAACCTAAGGACAACCTAAGGCAAGCTGCGAAACAATTAAGGAACACGGAGCCCCTCCCCAACGAAAAGGGTTCCTTGTTCAGCGCCCCAACTGTACCCCGCGAAGCCGCACACACACACACACACACACACACACACACGAACACACACACACACACACGAACACACACACACACACACACACGAACACACACACACACACACACACACGAACACACACACACACACACACACACACACACACACACGAACACACACACACACGAACACACGCACGCACGCACGCACGCACGCACGCACGCACACATACACACGCACGCACACACACACATACACACACACACACACGCGCAGATGTCTTTTGCGCCCGCGCGGGCTGCGGCACCTCGAGAAAGGAGCCCACAGAGGACGTACGCGCCCAACCACGCACGGCCAACACGTGCATCGAGGACGGGTGGGAAGCTGGAGGGCAACCACTGGGAAGTCCTCGTCGGAAGGATAAGGAGGATTAAGCCCCTCTGGGGGACTCTTACGCTGGAGTGGGCCTCGGATGAAGCCGGATTGAGCGGGATTAAGACGGATTCAACGGGTTTAAGCCGGATTGAACCGGATTTCGGACCAGGGCAAAATCTGAACTCGAACTCCCAGGAGTTGCATCCGAAGGTAAGGACGCAAGACCTTCGGTGGCCGACTCTGGCAGTTTTCTGGTGGCGGGCGACCAGTGTACACGCCAAAAGACGCGCCGCAGAGGCGCGGACACCATGTTAGCCTAGATGAAGGCGCGCGTCCTTACCAGGCGCGCTGGCTGTACATTGTACATGAATACGGCCCCCCAGTCCGCGAGACCAGCCTCGTGCTACCAACTCTCGCACACAACGCAATTTCGAAACCCACGTGGATTCACGTACGTGTACGGCCTCCTTTCTCTAAAGTCCAGCGGCGAGCGAGGGGAGACCTCTCAGTAAGCGCCGGGACTTCTCGGAAGCCCCCACGCCTTCTGAGAAGTTCTCTGCGACTTCGGGGGAGGCTCAGAAAACTTCCGAAGGCTGGGGGACTCCCGAGCCTTCTGAGAAGGCCCGCCCCTTCTCCCTTCTCCCCCTCGTTCGCCGCCGAATCCGGCTTTTGGGGTCACAACACGGGTCTCCAGCGGCCCTTCGGGGCGCTCCCGGCAGCCTCAGGAAGCTCTCGGCGAGGCGCAGCCGCTGGAACGCCTCCCGAGGCTGGAAGACCGCCGAGAACCAACCAAAACGCCCGAAAGCCTCGAACCTCGAGCCCGGAGCTTCCCCCCCCCGCTCGCCGCCGGAGGTCGGGCCCAGGACCCCCCCCCCACCCGGGTCCGAACTCGACGGCCCTCCCCGAGCTGCGCCCGGTCGTGGCGAGGCGCGGGGGCCCCCCCCCCGTTGCTTCCCGCGGGGGGTCGCGGCCCAGGGGGCCCCGCCCGCGAGGCCGCGGACGTGCGGGCCGCGGATAGGTACAGCGCCCACGGCATGGCGGCTCTGCCGCTGCAGAGTTCCGTTCAGTTCAGTTGGGGCGGCATCAGCCCAGAATACTTTTAGGAGGCAACTGCTGGGAGGTTTTCGTCGGAAAGATTAAGAGGGATCAAGCCCCATTTGGGGGCTATTACGCCGGAATGGGCCTCGGAGTAAGCGGGATTAAACCGGATTAAGCGGGATTAAGCCAGATTAAGCGGGATTAAGCGGGATTAAGCCGGATTTCGGACCAGGGCAAGATCAGAATTTGACCTCCCAGGAGTTGCATCCGAAATACTTGCACGCTGAACTGCTCTGCGCTCGCACACTGCGACGGAGCGACGCGTTGGCCACTGCAGGAGCCCGGAGCTGGTGGCTGCGTGGGAGGCCCGCGACGACGAACGAGCCAGGCGAGCCAGACGAGCTGGCTCGACGCACCTCTTTGCGGCCGGCCGGGCGGCTGGAGCCGCAGGCCGCCGCAGAGGACGTGCAACAAAATAGCCGCCACATGGTCGAATCACTTGAGGCTCCTTCTGGGAATCCCGTGCCGCGCAAAAGCAGCGCGCCTCGTGAGGACGGGCCCCCTCATCTAGGATACCCTTTGCGGCCTTGCCTCAGCGGCCCGTCCTTTACCGTTTTCGGGCGGGTGGGCAATGAGGGGGTGACCCACATGGGGGGTGAAGAAATGGGCCCAGAAGGCGCCCTTTCGGACCCCTTTTGGGCACCAACTGGCTCCGCAAGGGGCCCTGAAGGGCTCCTTTAAGAGCTTGTTCTTCACCCCCAATTTGGGCCACCCCTACCATCCCCCCCACCAGTTTTGACAGGTCGCCCACCGTCCAAGCAATTCCAACTTCGGCCCCCAAGGGTCCCGCTCCCCCGCCACCCGTCCTGAACCACACGTTTCAAGTGCACACGGATGTGTCTGTCGCCCACGCCCCTCGCCGCGCGGGTGCCCGAAGAGGCCCCTAGAGGCCCCCAAGAAGCCCCCAGGAAGCCCCAGCAGGCGCCAGAGAGACCCCCAAGAGGCTCCCAAGAGGCCTCAAAACTGCCCCCACGGGAGGCCCCCGAGAGCCCTCCCTCCGAAGAGGCCCCGGGAAGCACCCACTGGAACTCCGACCCTCCACGTGGGCACGGTGGCGGGATGGGCCCAGCGAAAGCGGCCAAAGCTAGGCCGAAGAGGAAGAAAGCGAGGGTAGCCTTTAGAGGAAGGGAGAACTGCATTAACATAAACTTTCGGCACTCCGCGCGGCTTTCTTGGATCTGCGCTGGACCCCCCTCCCTGGCGCGCGGAGCGCGCCAGGGGCGGCGCCGGAGGCGCCCTCAGGGGGGCCGATGCGCGGATCCAGGAAGACCGCGCGCAGCGCGCAAAGGTTTACGTTTGTGGCGTTGTTTCTTCTTCGAGAAGGGGAAGAAAACAAGGGTACCCTTAAGTCGGGCCTGTCCCACTACAGGCCGATGTTGGACGAAAAATGTTAAAAACAAAAATGCTCAAAAATAGTCAAAAATGGTCAAAGAATAGCCCCCAGACTCTTTTTCTACTACTTTCGAACATGCCCCCTGAAGAGGGACAGGACCGACATAAGGGTACCCTTGGAAAGTCGCTCGTCTTCCCTACTCGGGCTGACTGTGCGGATGTGAATGTCACCCACGGCCCTCGCCGCGGCAGGGGGGGGGCGCGGGCCGGCCTCGTCCCCGGGCAGCCCGGCGTCGAGGAAGGGAACCTCGCGGCGCCGCCAGGTCGGGGCACGCGCGGGGAGCGGCGGGCGATGCTTACAGTTAAGTCGGGCGTGTCCTCCTACAGGGGGGCGTTCGACGAAAAAAAAAATGTAAAAAAACCAGCCAAAATGGCAAACAAATACTCAAAAAATAGTCCCCGGACTATTGTCTGACTATTTTTGAGTTTTCCCCCTGTAGAGGGACATGCCCGACTTCAGCTACAGTGGAGGCCCATGCCAAGAAACACCCTGCTTGCCTCCAGGGTGCCCTGGGTTTCTTGGGTTGTCGATGGCTCTACGATGGAAAGTGTGACGTTCCCACAGCAAAAATCAATGGACGTCCCGGGGTCTCAGGGTCTTGTTTCTTGTGGAAGGTTTCTTGTGGACTAGTCTCCACTGCATTGGAGGGGGCAATGAAACGCGCACATGTCGTGCCCCTTTTGGGCCTCAAGGGTGCCCCTTTCTTCACCCCCAACCCCTCGCTTTCATCGTCCCCCCAGGACGCAGCGCCCGAGTGTGTCGGAGGGAACGCAAGACTCGGGCTCGGGGGACTCGGGTTGGCCTGACGGGGCCAACATGAAAATGACGACGGCCCAATCTGAAATTTGACGCGAGCGCCCGCTGCAAACATCCGACGAAAACTGAACCGTCAAAATCCAGGACTCGCTCCTAAAAAAACGGCGGCAAACCCAAGTTCTGGCGCACTCGAGCTGCCCGTTTCCCCGAGAGTGGGAGTCGGCGGCGAGCCAGGGGGGTAAGTGAGAAGGGGCGGGCCTTTGAAGATGGGTCCGAAACCCCCTGCCTTCTGAAAAATGTTCTGAGTCTTCCTCGAAGACACGGACGATTTCTTAGAAACGCGGGGGCATCTGCGAAGTCCAGCCGCCTTCTGAGAAGGCCTTCTCCTTCTCACTTCCCCCCCTCGCGCGCCGCCGAAGGTAGTCACTAGAGGTCGGGACGAGGTCGGGAGGAGGAGGAGGAGGAGGAGGAGGAGGAGGAGGAGGAGGAGGCGCAGGAGGAGGAGGAGGAGCAGGAGGAGCAGGAGGAGCAGCAGGAGGAGCAGGAGGAGGAGAAAGAGGAGGAAAAGCAGGAGGAGGCGAACTTGCTTTTGTAGGCCGTGGGATGGAGACAAGCGCCAACTCCCGAACACTCATCACAGCGACGAGTGGGGCCGACCGAGGGCCACGGAGGGGGGAGGAGGGAGGAGGGAGGAGAGAGGAGGGAGGGAGGAGGGAGGAGGGAGGAGGGAGGAGGGAGGAGGAGGGAGGAGGGAGGAGGAAGGAGGAAGGAGGAGGAGGGGAGGGAGGGGGGAGGAGGGAGAAGGGAGGAGGGGCAGGGAAGAAGAGGAGGAGGAAGGAGAGAGGAGAAAAAAGAGGAGGGAGGAAGAGGACGAAGAGGAGGAGGAGGAGGAAGGAGGGAAAAAGGAGGAGGAGAGTAAAGGGAGGAGGAGGAGGAGGAGGAGTAGGAGGACGAGAGGAGGAGGAGGAGGAGGCCGACGAGGGAGGGGGAGGCCTGCGCCGGCGTCGTGGCCGGACATCGCATCGAGGGACCAAGCCGCAGACTCTCCTCCGTCTCCCGCCTCCCTGGGGGCCCTCGCCGGGCCCCAGGGCCGTGCAAGAGCGGCTCGGGAGGGGCGGCTGGCCCCGGGGGGCCCCAGGAAGAAGTTAGACCTCCGATCTCGTCCTCTCTCCTCCCTCCTCTTTTTTCTCCTCCTTCTTCTCCTCCTCCTCCTCCTCCTCCTCCTCCTCCTCCTCCTCCTCCTACTACTACTACTACTACTCCTACTCCTACTCCTACTCCTCCTCCTCCTCCTCCTCCTCCTCCTCCTCCTCCTCCTCCTCCTCCTCCTCCTCCTCCTCCTCCTCCTCCTCCTCCTCCCATCCCTCCTCCTCGCTCGATCTGACTCAGCCTCCCTCCACTCTCACTCTCTTCTTTCGCAGCCCGCAGCCCTGGAATGCGCAGCGCTGGGCCAACATTCCCGGAGCAGCGGCCTGGCTACAGACAGGGATGCGCAGAGTCTGGCATCAGCTCGTCGTACTGCGCCTGTGGCTGTGAGACTTGGACAAGGTTGACGAGCGCGTTCCACTGCTCGCAAAATAACTACTCGCCAACGGCCTGGATCCGCCGCGGGGGATCTAAGACAAACTGCATCCAAGCAGACGTATGTTCCTCGGACGTGTGCGAGTGGGCACTTTGCGAGCAAGTGGAACGCGCTCGGCGTGTATTGCCAGGCAGTGCCGCCGTTGCCGCGTTGTGTGGGGCATCAAGGTGCTGCATGCGGGCAAGCCTCCAGCATGGAACGCTCCTCCTCCTCCTCCTCCTCCTCCTCCTCCTCCTCCTCCTCCTCCCCTCCTCCTCCTCCTCCTCCTCCTCCTCCTCCTCCTCCTCCTCCTCCTCCTCCTCCTCCTCCTCCTCCTCCTCCTCCCCTCCTCCCCTCCTCCTCCTCCTCACTCCTCCTCCTCCTCCTCCTCCTCCTCCTCCTCCTCCTCCCATCCCTCCTCCTCCTCCCATCCCTCCTCCTCCTCGGTGGAAAAAGGGGGGACAGAGCAAATACCGCAGTGCACCATGCAGTGCAGTGGCTTCTCCCGCACACGCGGCCACCAGCGCAGAAGCCCAAGCATACCCCGCATCGCCTCAGAACACATGTGTGTACACCCTGCGAAATGCTTAAGAAATCATGGGTTAAGAAATTCATAGTCTCAGGATTGAATGCAAACCCAGAATTCCTGTTAAAATCTTGGGAATTGCATTGAAACGTTAAGAATAATCGAGACTCTGGCCGCAAACGTAAATTTTCTTAAGCATCGCCCAGGGTGTCTGTGTGTTTCAAGGCCGGGCTCGAGAGCGCCGTCCCTCCTCCCTCCCTCTCTCATCCCTCCTCCTGGCGGCGAGCGAGGGGGGAAGTGAACAGGAAAAAAGGCCTCCTCAGAAGGCGGCGGGACTTCTCGGAAGCCCTCGCGGCTTCTGAGAAGTGCTCCGTGCCTCCGGGGGAGGCTCCGAAAACTGCTCCGAAGACCGGGGGGGACTTCCGAGCACTCTGAGAAGGCCCCCCCCTGGCTCGCCGCCGATCCTGCCTCCCTGCACTCCCACTCCCTCCCTCCTCCCTCCTCCTCCCTCTCTCCTCTCTCCTCCCTCCTCCTTCTCCTCCTCCTCCTCCCTCTCTCCCTCCTCCCTCCTCCTCCCTCTCTCCCTCCTCCCTCCTCCTCCCTCTCTCCCTCCTCCCTCCCTCCCTCCTCCCTCCTCCTCCCCTCTCTCTCCTCCTCCCTCCCCCCTCCCTCATCCTCCCTCTCTCCCTCCTCCTCCCTCCCTCCTCCCTCTCTCCTCTCATCCCGGACGAGTGTGCAAAGGGGGGTCACAAGGCAAATAGGGTCTTCCAACGCTCTCAGGAGTCATCCGTCGTGGCGTGCGGACGCCGTGGGTGAAAGCTCGCTCGCTCCTCGAAGACTCCTGGAGCCAAGAGGCTCCTCCCTCCCTCCTCGCCCACTCCTCCCCCACCCCCCCCCCGTCCCCCTCTGATCACCCTCCTCCTCCTCCCTCCCTCGTCCTCCCTCTCCTCCTCCCCCTCCTCCCCTCTCCACCTCGTCCTCCCTCGTCCGTCCCTTCCTCCCTCGTCCTCCCTCGTCCTCCCTCCTCCCTCCTCCCTCACCCCTCCCTCGTCCTCCCTCCTCTCCTCTCGTCCCTCCTCCTCCCTCTCGCCTCTCCGCCCTCCCTCCTCCCTCCTCTCCCCTCCGGCTCGGAGAAGCCACCGCCGCGGAAGGACGGGTCGGGAGCCCCAGCTCTCGCCAGGAGTCGTGAGCACGCGACGTGTTTTTGGAAGGGGCACCGGGACACACAAAAACATGAGCACACAAATCCCAGGATTACCCCATATTTCTCCATATATGTGTACCGATATATAACTAAACATGTATATACAGAATGGCACCGGAGAAACAAAAAAAAAAAAAAAAAAAAAAAAATCTTATGTTTGTTGGGGCTATGGAGCTGTAGGGCTATGAAGCTATAAGGTTATGAGGCCATAGGGATATAGGGCTATTGGCCTATTGGGTTATTGGGCTATAAGGCTATTGGGCTATAAGGCTGTATAGCTATAGGGCTATAGGGCTATACGGCTATGGGGCTATCAGGCTATAGGGCTATAGGGCTATTGGGCTATAGGGCTACAGGGCCAGAGGGCTAGAGGCCTATGGGGCTATAAAACTATAGGGCTATAGGGCTATAAGGCTATTGGGCTATTGGGCTATATGCTATTGGAGTATTGGGCACCCCAGGTACCCGGGCACCCGGGCACCCGGACCCGGCCACCGAAATCAGCGACCAACCTCACCGGCCACCCGGGCACCCGGGCACCGCCAGGCACCCGGGCACCCGGGCACCCGCCCCCGGCCACCGAAATCGGCGACCCACCTCACCTAAACCTTTAACCCGCTAGGACCCCTACAGAGGCAAGCTCTGATTGGGGAATATATATATATATATATTATCGGTGTCTGTCTTACCCCCCCCACACACACACACAGACACACACACACACACTTCCCATATTTTCCTAGGGGATCGACGAGTAGTTGTGTCTGTCTTTTTTCGGGGGCGCACAAACATGGATTAGCGATCCATGGATTTGGCGCGCGGTCGCCAAGTCCACGGATCGGGGGAGGTGCCCTCCCCAAAGTCCGGCCAGTGCTGCCTCGCTCGGCGGCGGAAGTCCGCGATTTCCCATGGAAACGGTACCCGTCGCTACTCCACGCCCCCTTGATCCATGGTTGCGATCGCCGGATTTTCTCCCCCTCCTGAACTTTCTTGGGATGGTGGAATCTCCAGGATCCTGGGTCGCTCGACTTCGCGCATCGCGCATCGCGCCCTGCGGTGCGCGACTCGCGCCTGGCCACCCTCGCGCCCCCCCCCCCCCCTACGGTCAGGTCGGGCATGTCCTCCCACAGAGGGATTTCGGACGAAAATTCAGAACTGTCAAAAATATTCGAAAATTGCCACCAATATTCATTTATATATAATATAACATATATATATAATATAAAATATATATATATATGTGTGTGTGTGTGTACTCCAGATTTCGTAATAAAGGGAGGGGGGTCTCATTTCGGGGGGGGGTCTCTTCCAGGCTATCTTGGAGGGCCTGGGGGGGTCTGGGGACGATGTTTTGGAGGGTTCTCCCACGGGGGAGGTCTGAAATGGCTTGTCTTGGAGGGTCCAGACCCCCTCCCTTTTGTTACGAAATCTGGATATAAATATATATATATATATATATATAGATATAGATATATATAGATATATATATATATATATATGTTCACATGGTTCCGCATCGACCGCCTCGGGGTCGCCGGCGGCGCTCCGCGTCGAGCGCCGGCGGCGCGGGCCGACGCCCGTCGACGCGGCGCGAGCCTGCGCCTGTACCGTGCGGCCGCGCTGCCCAGCGGGAGGTGCGCAGGTGCTGCTGCTGCTGCTGCTGCACAACACCAGGACTAGGTCGGGCATGTCCCCCTACAGTCAGGGGGACGTAAGACCCGGGTACGGGGGACTCGGAAATCCCCGACGAGGTCGTCAAAAAATGACGAGGCCGAGCCTGCATTTTGACGAGGCCTCCCGCTGCAGACATCCCACGAAACTCCTCCTCGTCAAAATCCGAGGCGCGGTCGTCAAAAAACGATGGCGAACCCGAGTCCCGGCAAACCCGGGTCTTACGCTCCCCCGAAACACCAGGACTAGGTCGGGCATGTCCCCCTACAGGCGGATATTGGAAGAAAAACCAAAAAGTCAAACAGATTCAAAAATGGCAAACATGCTAAACAAAACCGTCCCCCGATCATCGTTCGCCGATGTTTGAATTTTCCTCCCGTGGAGGGACATGCCCGACTTATAACACAAGGCAGGCGTCACACGGCCTCAGGCCGCCGCGCACGGGAGCGCGCAGAGAGTAACAAAAAGCGGCCCAACAGCGGCTCACACGAATCAGGGGGCAACAGTGAGGTCGTGGCCATCGCTCGGACGTCCATCTCCTGTGCTTTTTTCGGTTTCGTGCGTGGTTCTTGCGCGAAATGATCAAGGATGCTCCTTGATGGTCCTCGCCGAAGGAAAAATACACACGTCCGAGCGATGCCAGGTGTCATGGGTGGAGGGGGGGGAGCATCGGCATGGGCGACGAACAGAACCGGGGCCTACGCGAGATGGCACAACGACCTTGCGCGTTAGCTCACCCGCGCCGCCAGCGCGGCACGCTGCATTGGAGGCGAGGGCGCCGACGCACGCGCCGTCCCACGCGGCCAGCTCACGCGCGAATGTCGGTGAAGACGACCCCGCTTTTCGGAGTCGCTCACGTGAAATCAGCGATACATCGCCGTTAGATCGGCGATAGGCCCCGCCCCCGATAGCGAAACCGCGCGGTCCTGGTCGGGGAGAGGCTATCGACCCCCATCGGCGATCTGTGGACCCCAGGCTGCGCGCCAGATGACTCAAGGGTCCTTGTGGGCCACAACGGCGGCACAAAAGGGAGGAGGGACGGAGGCGAAGAGGCCGACGTGTGCATGACCACCGCACGGGGTGCGGCGATCGACCCCCAGCGGCGATCAGTGGGCGATTGGGAGGCGATGCCTTCCCCCCTGCGTCTGCCCCCCCACTGACGCTGCCCCGTGGCTTTCGGGTCCTAGCCGGGCTCTCCCGCGGCCCTTCGGGACGACTCGGGCACCCCCCAGAACGCTCTCGGCGAGGCGCCGCTGCTGGGGAGCATCCCGAGGTTGGCAGACCGCCGAGAACCGACGAACTCGCCGGAGAACCTTGAACAGCGAACCCCTGGGCATACACCCTGCGAAATGCTTAAGAAATCATGGGTTCAGAAATCTATAGTCTCAGAACTTGAAAAAAAAAACAGCATTTCTATTAAAATCTTAGGATTTACATTGCAACATTAAGAATCATCGAGACTCTGGCCGAAAACTTGAGTTTTCTTAAGCATCGCCTAAGGCATATCCCCCCACCCCTCGGGCTGCCGCTGACGGTGGCCACGGCGGGGTCGGACCACGAAGGCGGCGCAACTTAGGCCCTCTCTTAGGGGCCTCGGGGGCCGTCTTGGGGGCGATCCTGGGGGCTTCTTGGGACACCTCGGGCGCCTGCAAGACAGAAAACGGCCGCAGGTACGCCCAGCCGAATCCCCTCGCCCCACCCCATCCTCCCTCTCCTCATCCCCCTCCTCTTCCTCCAGCATGCCAGCAATTCTCCGGAGTGGAATGCTCGTCCTCCTCCTCCTCCTCCTCCTCCTCCTCCTCCTCCTCCTCCTCCTCCTCCTGCTCAACATCCCACTGTCTTTGTCTCCTGCTGCCCGTTGCGCACAGAATCGGCTGCACTGGCTCGGGGATCTTCTGACCTGGGTCAATCCAGACCCGGGTCAGTCAGGCCTTGCAGGATCCTGCAGGATCCTGCGGGGTCCTGCACCCAAGCACGGGTCAATGCGATCCTGGCCCTGCAGGATCCTGCAAGACCCGGCGCTCTGGCTGACCCCGTTTGCATTGACCCCCGTCTCTTGTCGGGGATGGACCGACCTCCCTTTAGTAAAACGTGGTTTAGTGAAAACGACCTGAGGCCCAAACCTGGCGGGCGCAAGCCTGGAAAATAACGGCCGCGGCGCCCTCTCGAGAACCGAAAACGGTTCTGTCCACCCCCGATCTTGAGCTCCGACGGGCCACCTAGCCGAGGGGTCCGGGGGGCCCAGAGAAGCGGAGCTCGCCAGGTTGTTGTGGATGAAGTGGTAGCAGTGCGGGCACGTCGACAGGAAGAACACCTGTGCGGGGGAGGGGGCAGCCCATTGGCCCGGCCCCCATCGCACCTCGCCCCGCGTCTCTCGTCCTGCTCGTCCGCCTCCCCCCTGTCCCCCGTTCCGCCTCCCCATCGCTCGTCCTCCTCCTCTCTGGCTCTCCTCCCCTCCTCCACCCTCCTCCTCTCTCCTCCGCCTCCCTCCTCCTCCTCCTCTCCTCCTCCTCCTCCTCCTCCTCCACTCCTCCACCTCCTCCTCCTCCCTCCTCCTCCTCCTCCTCCTCTCCTCCTCCTCCTCTCCCCTCCTCCTCCTCACCCCTCCTCCTCCTCCCCACCTCCTCCTCCTCCTCCTCCTCCTCCTCCTCCTCCTCCCTCCTCCTCCTCCTCCTCCTCCTCCTCCTCCTCCTCCCTCCTCCTTCCCCTCCTCCTCCTCCTCCCCCACTTCTTCCACCTGCCCCGAATGCCCGTCTTCCCCTCACGCTTCCCACATGTTACGCCTTCCCCGAGTCGACGACTCTCTGTGTCGAGCGGCGCCGGCGACGGCGGCGGAGCGGCAGGCGGCGGCCGCGCCTCGACGGAGATCGGCGCGCCCTGCTCCCGCAGCCCCCGCCCACGGGCGCTCGGGGAGGCGGCGGCCGCGTCGGCGCCCAGGGGCCTCGGGGGCGGGGCGCGCGCCTCCTCCTCCTCCTCCTCCTCCTCCTCCTCCTCCTCTGCTTTTCTTTTTCTTAGTATTATTCGTCGCATGCTTATTATGATTAGTATTATTATTATTAAAATTAATATTTTATTATCATTATTATAATAATTATTATTATTATTATTATTATTATTATTATTATTATTATTATTATTATTAGTAGTAGTAGTATTATTATTAGTAGTAGTATTATTATTAGTATTAGTATTAGTATTATTATTAGTATTATTAGTATTATTATTATTATGATTATTATTATTATTATTATGAGTATTATTAGTAATAGTATTATTATTATTAGTAGTAGTAGTAGTAGTATGCTTCTTAGTATTATTAATATTAGCCTTATTATTAGTAGTATTCGTGTTCGTTTTCTCCTTAGTCGTCTTCTTCTTATTAGTATTAGTATTATGATTATTATTCTTAGTATTCGTATTCGTAGCATTATTCTTAGCATGCTTAGTATGATTCCTCTTATTATTCGTCTTAT